TCTCTCTCCCCACCCCACCCCCACCCCACCACCCACCACCCCACCGGTCATTCCTACCGACCTCCTTCGTCCTTCCCCTCTCCCCCAACCCCACACTTAGTTCTCAGGCCTGGCCGGGGTGGGGGTTCCTCTGACGCCTCCCCTGGCCCTTCCCCTCACACACCCCCCCTTCCCATCATTCCCTCGCTCCTCCCTTCCCACACGGTCCCTGGCCAACCCCAGGTCCACAGACCTCTCCTGTCCTCCGTCCCATACGCCCTCTCCCCCTGCCGTTTCACCCCTTCTGTCTGACCTCACCTTGCCCTCTTGCCACACGACCACCCCAGCCTCCCCGCACTTCCCATCCCTCTTACCGCCTGCCGAAGCCCATCTTTTAACCCTCTCCCCAAAGCAGACGATCTGGCCCAGGAGATGGAAGATGTGGACTTTGAGGAAGAGGAAGAGGAAGATGGCAATGAGGAGGGCTGGGTTCTGGAACCCCAGGAAGGGGTGGTCGGCAGCATGGAGGGCCCAGACGATAGCGAAGTCACCTTTGCATTGCACTCGGGTAGGTCTCTGAGGAGATCCATCGTAAACCCAGTCCAGGTGGGCATTTGAGCATCATCCATCCGCTGTGTCGGGAGCATTATGAGGGACACAGCGGTGGGAAAATGCTGGCCTTGCCCTGGAGGAGCTCACAGGTAGGGGGGCAGTATGATGGAATGGAGGAGAGCTTGGCTCCTGGAGTCAGTTGAGACACTTGGGTTCAAATCCTATCCCAGCTACTCGTCTGTTTATGATCTTTATTAAAGTCTCTGGGTTTTAGTTTCCTTTTAAAAAGTTGTCACTGGTAAAAGTTCTTTTATTGTGAATTACACGTAATAGTACCTTTTGGAGCATGTTTTAGATAATCCTCTTAAATATTAGCTCTTAATAAGGAACCAGGAACATGACGCTTTCCTCACTCAGACCCCAGACTGGTGGCATCCCATGCTGAGAATTGTAAGCGCTGCACATGTACCTTTCTCTTGTCCGTGGCATCAGTGTGGGGTGGTGAAGGGAACAGCAATGAAGGGGGATCTGTCCTGGAGAAGGACTTAGAGTTCGGCAAGCTTGGGGAGGGATTTCTCCGACAACCTGATGCTTGAAACTTAGAAGAACTTGGATGCGCCCTTCTTTTCCAGGAGGAAAGAAGTGTTACTTTGGGTGGAAGGGGGTGGGTTTCCCAAAGGTCCCAAAGGACAGAATCCTGGGTGGGAGCCCTGTCTCCTTACTCATGGAGTATCTCTTGGGACAGCATCTGTGTTTTGTGTGAGCCTGGACCCCAAGACCAACACCTTGGCAGTGACAGGGGGCGAAGATGACAAAGCCTTTGTGTGGAGGCTCAGCGATGGGGAACTGCTCTTTGAGTGTGCAGGTGAGCGGGCCTGGGTGAGGTCCTGCCCCTTTGGAGGTCTTAGGGGGCTGGCCTGCAGCGGTTGTGCATCCAATAGCCATGGACTCCCGTTTTGCCAGCTCTCTACTTGGCCTGAGGGCCCCAAAGAATAAAATGGTCTGTTGTGGGCATAGGGGAGGGAGGCACTGATTGGCGGAGGGAGTCGGGGAAAGGCCTGGGAGGAGGTGACACTAGTGAAGGAGAATTGGGGCAGGAAGGAGGCTGTGAGTATTTCAGGCAGAGATGTGGAGCGGACAGAATGGGGAAGACATAGGCCTGGGGTATACATGGTTGAGTGGGAGGCCAGCAGTGTCTCCCCTGGGGAGACATGGGGATGTTGGCTCCTGGAGCAGCTCTGAGTTTGGTTAGGACCCATCCTTTTTTTCCCCAGCTGGTCCTTTCTGGGGGCCAGATACCTGGGTCCCGTGTCCCCAGCACCAGGTACGCTGATGCTCTCTTCTCTTCCTGCCCACGCTTCTCTGCAGGCCACAAAGACTCTGTGACCTGTGCTGCTTTCAGTCACGACTCTACCCTGGTGGCCACAGGGGACATGAGTGGCCTCTTAAAAGTGTGGCAGGTGGACACCAAGGAGGAGGTCTGGTCTTTTGAAGCAGGAGATCTGGAGGTGAGGTCATCAGAGTGGGATTCAACTCTGAGGGCCGGGGGAGGGGTGAGACCCTGGGGGTCCGTGCCACCTTGAGCAGACCAAGCCAGCTCTGAGCCGGTACACTCCCAGAGTACAGCAAGAATGTCTAGGCCCATTCCCTGGGATGTCCCTGCTGACTGAGAAGCGGGGAAAACTTGGCAGAGCTCATGGGGCAGACTCCTAGGTGAGATGGGGTGAGGGGCCTCCCTCTTGAGCCTTTGTCTCTGCCCAGTGGATGGAGTGGCACTCTCGGGCGCCTGTCCTACTGGCGGGCACGGCTGACGGCAACACCTGGATGTGGAAGGTCCCGAATGGTGACTGCAAGACCTTCCAGGGCCCCAACTGCCCAGCCACCTGTGGCCGAGTCCTCCCTGATGGTGAGAGCAGCTTTCCTGAGTGCAGAGAGGTGGGGACCAGGGTTACGCGTCTCCCTGGCTCCCTCCTGGGCCACCGCCAGCAAACTCTGAGGCCTGCTCTTGGGAGCACTGACCTCCCAGGCCCCAGAGCAGACAGCTCCCCCTTTCCACCCGGAACTGGGTCTTCCCTGGGGCACTGTGTGTTCCCTCACTTCCTTGCTCCCGTCCCCTCCCTCCCCTGCTGATATGTCTGAGCGTGCTATCTGTTCTTCTCTCTTCATCTCCATCTCGGGCCCTTTAGGGAAGCGAGCTGTGGTCGGCTATGAAGATGGCACCATCCGGGTTTGGGACCTGAAGCAGGGAAACTCTATCCATGTACTAAAAGGTATCTGGGGTGGGGAAAGTGTTAACCTAGGCCTTTGCGGGGCAGGGGCTGAGACCTGGGACAGGATGAAATCCGACTTATTCCTCTGCTTCATCCTAGGGACCGAGGGTCACCAAGGCCCTCTGACCTGTGTTGCCACCAACCAGGATGGCAGCCTGATCCTCACTGGCTCTGTGGACTGCCAGGCCAAGCTGGTCAGTGCCACCACCGGCAAGGTGAGTGGGACCCTGGAGCCTGGCTCTGGGGCCTCCGCTTTCCGCGTCTCCTCCCCTTTGTCTCTTATTCTTCACCCAGCCTCCTTGCCCCACTGCCTTTCTTTTCTTAATAGAGGACCGTGTTTCCAGGCTCTTCTCTGATCCTCTCCCCTGGCTCATAGGTGGTGGGCGTTTTCAGACCCGAGGCCGTGGCCTCCCAGCCCAATCTGGGAGAAGGGGAGGAGAGCGAGTCCAACTCCGTGGAGTCCTTGGGCTTTTGCAGTGTGTGAGTGTGAGCGGTGCCTCAGCCTGACACAAGAGCAGGGAGCTTGGGGGAGGGGGCCTGGGCTGGGGGCCCCGAGTCCAGGCCCCTCCACGAGCTGTCATGTCTCCTCTGCCCAGGATGCCTCTGGCAGCTGTTGGCTACCTGGATGGGACCTTGGCCATCTATGACCTGTCTACGCAGACCCTCAGGCACCAGTGTCAGCACCAGGTACAGGCAGCCTGGAGCCATGGCCACGGCCATGGGAATCCCAGGTCTCTGGGAGCGTCTGCCCCAGACCTGGCTCCTGTCTGGTCCTTCCCTATGGCCCATAGTCCCTCCCTCCTTCCTTGAGAGTTGGGAGCAGGTGCCTGTCAGCTCTCCCGCCCCTGACCGCACGCCGCTTCTGCCGTACCCTGCTGCAGTCGGGCATCGTGCAGCTGCTGTGGGAGGCAGGCACCGCCGTGGTTTACACTTGCAGCCTGGATGGCATCGTGCGCCTCTGGGACGCTCGGACCGGCCGCCTGCTTACTGACTACCGGGGCCACACGGCTGAGATCCTGGACTTTGCTCTCAGCAAGTAAGTGAATTGGGCAAGGGCTGGGGTCTCTGTGTGTTTGGAAGGTGGGAATAGCCCATGGGGGGTCACAGGGTCCTTAGGGTGTAGGGGGCAGCTGGGCCCCAAGGCCTGGGCCTGCCTGTGAGGCAGGAGAGCTGGCAGGCCTGCGGGAGTCATCTTCCGTTGACCGTGCGGCCTCACATCTCATCCCCCGGGCGCAGGGGCTGGGACCCCTTCCCACATGCGGGCGGCTCTCCTCTGATCCCCTTGCCGGTTGCTGGCTTCAGGCGTGTTCACTGGGTGTGGGTCCGCCCAGCGCCAGGCACTAGGGGTCTGGAGTTGAGGATGAGCTGCAGGAGGTCCCCAGAGGGCCCCTGGGTGGTGGGCCTGGGGTGGGCCTGAGGTCTTCCAGTCCCTCCCAGCTGTGTCTTCTGTCCACAGAGATGCCTCCCTGGTGGTGACCACGTCAGGAGACCACAAAGCAAAAGTATTTTGTGTCCAGAGGCCTGACCGCTAACGGCTGCAGCCTCTGCTTTGTGTCTGGTGTGGAGGGGGCACAGAGACCCCTATCAGCAGAGGCGGTAGGGTAGGAGGGAAGAGGAGGGGACGGGCCTCGGACTCACTTTCCAACCACTTCAAACTGACTTGCCCCCTCTCTGTCCCTTTCTTCTCTTAAGAGACCCACCCCTCGGGCCCCTCCTTCCTGCCCTCTCCCTTGTAGTCCTCACCCAGACCTGGCAGGCCCTTCACAGGGAGGTTCAGACCTCTTTCTCTTTCACTTCCTTTGCTGGTGTGAGCCATGGGGGTGTGTATTTGTATGTGGGGAGTAGGTCTTCGAAGTTCCCGTTCTTTCCCTTCCCAAGTCTCTGGGGGCGGAAAGGAGGAAGAGATATTAGTTAACAGATTTTAAAAATGTAAATAAAATATACTTCCCAGAGACGTGTCTGTGTGGATTTCGTGGTGGCCGGACATGAGGAGGAACCAGTGAGGGGCGTGTCAGGGTGAGGCTCCCTGCCACATCTGCTGGATCTCAAGGTGCCTCAGCTCACCCCCTCAGGCAGCAGCATGCTCACCTACAGCTGCCTGCCTGTCTGGAACTGGAATCTCCCTGGATCCTCTAGGTTCTTTCCGCAGCTGCTCGCCTGTCCCTCCCTTGCTAAGATGTGGAATGAGATAACCACAGCTGGGAGCCAGGGGAGCTTTATTCAGTCAGGGTGGGGTCGTATAGGGGCAGGGTCTCTGATCCAGAGGTGCGGGGATAAGTGGAGATGGGCTTGGTGGCCAAGATGGACGGATGCTTCTAGTAGGAACGAGCAGGGGCCCCTCCCCTAGTTCAAGTCGAGGTCCATGCTGCTTTGGTTGCGGGTGTGGTAGGCGGGGCTGGGTCCAGGACTGCCCTGGGGTCTTCCCCGCAGCACCCGGAGCCACCTCTGGGCGGCCGCCCTCCAGGGGGCCGTGTAGCGCTGATCACCCAGCCCCATGGCCACGGGCACGGCCGCCGCACTGGCGCTGCCCAGGGAGATGAGGGACAGCAGAGTTCCGGGCCCCAGCGGCGGGCGCTGCTCATAGGCCAGGACGGAGAGGAGCAGGGTGGCCACGTAGGGCCCCCAGCATAGCCCGAAGAGCAACGTGGCTCCAGCCTGTGCCCTGGCCTGCCGCCAGGTGAGGGCGCGGGCCAGGGCCGAGGGCGCGCCGCGGCACACGGCCCGCTCCAGCCGGCGGATGTCCTGCAGCTGACGGCGGGCGGTGGCCAGCACGTGGACCGAGAGAAGGGCGGCAGCGCCCACGGCGGGCAGCAGGACCCCATAGACTTCGAGGTAGAGGTAGGGGGCTGGGAAGACAGCCTGGGAGCTGCAGTTGGCCCCAGGGGCCCAGTGGTTCCAGCCCAGGGCAGGCAGGCTGGCAAAGAGCAGGGGGCCAGCCCAGGTGAGGAGCAGGGCCATCCGAGTGCTCCCGCGGGGCCGCAGGGGCCGCAGCACTGCCATGTAGCGCTCCCCGTGCACCAGTAGGAGGTTGGCAAGCAGGGAGAGGAAGGAGAAATTGGGAGCCAAGTAGAGGAAGAGGCAGGACCAGTAGCCTCGGCGGCTCTGGTTCCATAGGCCTGGCAGCACGGGCAGCGCCAGCCCGGTGAGCAGCCCGGCCAGCAGCAGGCTCAGGAAGAAGCAGCCAGCGGGTGGGCCGCGCAGGCGGTGGTCCCTGGCGATGCCCAGGGCCAGGAACAGGTTGGCAGCGACGATGAGGCTTGCCAGGGCCAGGGAGAGCCCCAGGGCCCCTGCGGGAACGGGGCTGGGCATCTCCCTGGTGCTGTTGGGTGTCATCTTGGGCCTGGGGACGGGGGAGGCCTGGAGCAACAGCGGGCATGCCTAGATGGAAGATGGGGCAGCCGGAGTTAGGGTGGGGCTGCAGGTCACTGTCTGCTCGGCAAGGCTGCACATTAATCCAGAGGTCGCAGACCAACAGACTGTGGGCCATATCCTGTTCGCTGATACACATTTTCCCCCCAATGAATCGCCAATTAAAATTTACATAAAAATTCCTATTTTGGGCTTAAAGAAAATCAGGTCCTGCCTATATGATAGCAACCAGCTGGAGTTGAGTTGTGGCTGCCTTCAGACAGCTCCCACAGTCCCCACCCAGCCCCCTCGCCCATTTCTGTTATCTGTCTGGTCCTCTCTGGGCAGCTGTGTTTATGCCTCTGTTTAGGCTGAAAAGTGGACCCACCCATCCCCAAAGCATTTTGACCATCCCTGCCTCCACCAGGTGAGGCATCTAACAAATTAGCTGACAGGATAGGATAGGGTCTGGCTGGTGTGTAGTGGTCCTCTGGCCAGCCAACAGTTGATGGCCTCCTTCGGGCTGGGGCCAGAGCCGGGACAAGGGACTCGGGGTGGGTGCTAAATGAAGAAGGGCGGTCCTTGTCTTCAGATGCTCGCAGGCTCGTGGGCACCCGTGCATTAAGAGGTGGTAGGTTGCTAAGGATTCGGGGTGCAGGTAGGGGCAGAAGTCACCCTGAGGCAGGGCTCACTGAGTTAGTGATGAGGCCAGGGCAATGGGTGGCAGCAAGGGGTTGCCCGGTCCCTTGCACCTCCCCTCCATCCGCCTTGTCACCAGTTACACCTCAGTGAGCAGCCTCCGGGTAGGACTTCCAGCCCATAAACTTGACGCGTCCCTACCTCTCTAGCAACAGGGCCTTTCCTGGGAACTGGAGGAGGGGAGGAGTTGCTGGGAGGGGGGAGGGTTGGCAGTGAATGTGCAGATGCCGGCGGCAGAGGGCTGAAGCGAGCCCAGAGAGGGAGGAGGAGCCGCTGGGCAGGGCCTGGCCTCTCTGTGGCTCTGACCTGTCTCAGTCCTCCCATGCCCTGTCCCCACTGCCACATCATAGGGATGGGGGACAGGGGAGGGGTCCTGGGCCCTGTGGGAACTCCTGCTTCTGTCAACGGGAGCAGCCGCTGTTGCTAGGATTAAAGTCAAGAGGGAAAGGATTCCTACCTGCCCCCTCCCCCGGGTCAGAGGATTAGAGGGCCCCACGGCCACCCTGAGCGCAGGAGATGTTGCCCCTTCTATCCCCAGCTCCCCTCAGGTCCCCCCAAGCTTCTGCACCCCTTTACCCTCAGCTTCTGTTTCTTCTTCCTCAACCTCCCCCAGTGCCGTCCGCTGGGAACATCTTTGCCTCTCCAGCGCCCCTCCAGTTTCTGTTCCCCTTCATCCCTGCACTGTCAACTTTATTAAACCCCAGGAGACCTCAGAGTCCGTTACTTCAAACCTGGACTCTGGAGTCATGGGCTGGAGCTCCCAGCTCTTCGCTGGAGTGAGTCTCCCACCCTACCTCCCAACAGACCAGCGAGAAAGGCAGGGTCAGCCGCCAGGGCGATTTCCCAACAGTCTTATGGTGTGCTGGCTGTGTGACCTGCACAACCCGGAGGCTCTGGTGGCTCGGGCTGCGTGCGATGGCCTCTGCAAGATCTGGGGTCGAGGTCTCCAGGTGTGGCCCCGGGGGCCGGGTGGGGAAGGGGGAGAGGGGGTAGCTACTCACATGGCTGTGAGGGACAGGTGTTGCTCCCCCAGCCTGGGCTTTCCTCTGAGTGTCAGGGAGTTGCCGCAGCCAGCGCTGCAGGGCTTCTGGCGATGTCTGGTGTCCTGACCGGTGAGGGCATGGTACCTCCACCGTGCGAGGACAGCAGGGCCCCGGCTCTCCACTGCTCTCCCTGGCTCTGCCCTCGCCTGGGTTCCTGGAGGGATGGAGCTGAGGCTGGCGGGGATCAGCCTGGCCCCGCCTCTGGGGGGTGGGACCTGGCACACCCTGAGCTGCAGTACTGGGAGGCCTTCCTCCCCTTTCTCCAGTGTCCCCTCCTTACCCTCCTGTACCAGTGGCCCCCTCTCCAGCCACTGGCCATAGCTTGCCACCAAGAAGGCAGGTCACCCAGCTTGGAGCCCTCTGGCCCGCTACTGCTTAGCTAATCTGAGAAATGCATTCCAGCTAGTGAACAATGATTTAGTCTACCTTCTCCACTTCCCAGCTCATATATTTACATTTTATGGGCCTTAAACCCCTGGAGTGGCCAAGCCAGCTGACAGCGCATTCACCTCTGTAATTCTGCCAGTCCGCATAGTGGTGTGTGTCTGATGGTGGTGGTCGGGGGCGGGGGGGGGGGGGATGTTTGGAATATGAGAATCTTCACTGCCCGCCCTTCCTATCACCTGGTAGGGAATTTCAGCTTATAAAGCCAGGCTTGCCTTCCAGAATCTGGGGTCATTCCACACTTTTCTCAACTACTTTGTGAGTCAAGTTCTGGGCTATGAGGCACAAATAGCTCTGGGGTTGTGACTTGGGGCAAGCTACTTCTGGGCCTCAATTTTCTCACCTGTAAAATGGAAACAAGGAAAACCACCTGTCACTGTTGTTGTGGGGAATACCATGGGATAACATGTAACTGCGTACATCCCAGTACCTGACACCTAATGGGGGAGGGTTCTCAACCAGTGATTCCCTTCCTCCCTCCTCCATGACGACTAAGAGGCATGAGCCAGTGCTGGAATTTCGGAATTTCCAGCCTGGGTTTAAATCTCAGAATCCTTTTTGGATCCTATTTTTTGGCTGTTTAAACAAATTATTAAAGTTCTCTTACTTTAATTTCCTCATCTGTAAAATGGGCTCACACTGCATTCACCTCTTGTGAGACGATATGAGAAAATGTGGGGGGGACTTTGGCAGTCTAGCGGTTAAGACTCTGCGCTTCCACTGCAGGGGACACAGGTTGGATCCCTCGCCCCACAGGTTGGATCCCTCGCCCGTTGGGATCCTGCATGCTGCCCGGGGCAGCCAAAAAAAAAAAGCGTGTGATAAGGACTTGGGTCAGTGCTCGGCACAGAAGCACACAATGAAAGGGATTTCTGGCCTTCTCTGCACATCCCTTCCCTCCAGCCACATGTCCCCTCTGAGAATTCCATTGAGAAAGGCTGATAGAGAGCCTTAGCAAGAGGAGAATGACACTTTCACTCCACAGGGAAACACAAGAAACTAGGCAGAGTGAGAGGAAGGGCAAGTTCAAGGCTAGGAAGCCCCAATTTCCAGCTTGTGTCAAGTGACGCTTTGGGGCGAGGGAGACAAGCAGTTACACTCTCTTGAGGCCTGAAGTGGGAGGGAACAGGCTAAAACTGCAGCGAGAAAGCTGGAGGTTAGACATTAGGAAAATGCTCCTTGTAGACGGAGCAAGGGGTTTTCTGTGCTCTCTCGGTGAGACCTGGGCCTGAAGGCCTGAGAGGTCTAGCTCTGCCAACCCTGCACAGCAGTCAGGAGTCCTGGAGAGAAGGACCTCTGTTGGGACAAAAACTGGGAAGAGGAAAGCACCCAGCCTCAAACCCATCCTCAAGGGAGCTGGTGGGTGGGAGGATGCTGCATTCCAGTGGACACTCTCGGCCCCATGCTATCTGGCGGTGCAGAAGTCAGAGGCTCTGGGAGAGTTCACCCTGGGGCCTTGACAGAAGTGGGAGTGGGGCCTCTCATGTTGGATTGCCAGGAATAAACAGACCTCCTTCTGTTCCCAGCCCTGGCCTCCTCCCTGCAGGATCCAAGATGTCTGTGTTTCTTCTTCACTATTCTGTCTAAACACTGTGTGGGATGACGTGTAAAGGAGAACAAGTTCGGGAGCCAGAGCCGGGGAGCCTGGGTTCTGTCCTCAGCTCAGCCCTGTTTCCTCCTTATTGGATCATTTAGTTCCTCTCTGTTCCATCAGTCCCTGGGACTGACTTATCCCCAGCCTTCTCCCCTTCGCCCACAAGAGGGCTCTGGTGCAGACAGTTTTCAGATGCTCCATCCAGCGGATCTGTGGGCCCTAGAGTTCCCCACCTCAGTCCCCGTTCTCCTCTCACGTAGAGCCTGTATCATGGTGTCCAATCTGGACTGTGGCAGGAGATCCACCTGGGTCTCCTTCGTGCACCCCATTCTCCTGGAAAGTTTTCTGTCGGCCCTGGGTGGCTCCCCATAGGCTCCGGCTGATGAGCCCTTGGGAGCCTCTGAAGGGCTCTGGGGACAGTCCTGTGACCAAGTCTGGCCAGGATCCTGGCTTCAGGAAGACTTTAAAGTCAGCTATATGGGCAGAGGAAACTCTGGTCCTTCCTGTCAGGGCTAAACGACAGATTCTTCAAGCCTCCCTCGGAGTCACACAAACTGCAGTGCTTTTAGCAATCCCCAGAAGGGGGAAGCATTGAATTCAAAATGGCCCCCAGAGCCGACCCAGGCTTTGGTCTTAGGTCTCTGTAGCTGCTGGGACGAGGGTCCCTCAGGCCTACTGCGAATGAGACTGAAGGGAACTGAAATGGTAACTGTCAAGTATCAGCTCTGGGTAGACGGGCTGACACAGCAGCTGGCATTACTTCCTCTTCCTGGCTTCAACTTCATGCCCTCTGGTTCCACACCTCCACTTCCTGTTACAGTCTTATTTGCTTTTCCATCAAGCTCCTGGTTCTTAGCTTGCCCAGGTCGCACTTTATCCAAAGTTGGAGCTTCCCACTAACACCCTTCTCACCCCACGCGGCAGTTTGAGGGCCACCAAACAGTGAAAAATATCACCGTTTTTGGTGAGGACCTGAAAAACCCCAATGCAGAGTGACCTTGGTTTATGCCGGACTTGGCTTCTCAGCAGTCCTGCCACTCTGATCCTCTTACGAGTACAAGAATGTAACTAAGATTTATTAGATGGTGTTATCAATGATAATTATAGGCATTATAAATGCCTACAATGCGATAGGCACTTATTATCTGTTCTCTATTCCTTTTTAAGAGCCCTGTGAAATAGGTGGTGTCATGTCCAAAGATGAGGCCATCGGGGCTCAGGTTAAGAAATTTACCCAGTCACATAGCTATTAAGTGGTGGAACATGGATTCAAACCCAGGTCTGTCCTAAACACTGCTTCCACCCCTCCAGCTTATATCCCAGCTCATCTATACCTCCCAGGTATGGACCTTTAGGGTAAGGCAGCAAATTAGCAGCAATTGAGACTAGATCCCGTTTTTCGTCACCCACATCCTCTCAGCATGCCGACCCTCAGCTTGAGACCTCCCTCCTCCTACAATTCTATGGGCTTTGGCTGAAGTTACAGTGTGCCTTTGTCCACAAAGGGGACAGAGGGTCCTTGAGAAAGAGTTAACTGTGCCCTGGAAACAGATGAAGACAAAGGAGCATGTCTGGAGAGGGGTTTTCACCAACATGGGTTTTTATGCTGACAAAGTCTTGGAATTAAGACAATTCCTTAGGGTTTATTAAAAAATATTTAATGCCTCTTTTTCTCCTAACTCCATATTTTCTAAGCAACTCTGGTTTTGCCATTTACAGCACTTTTCAGAAGTCTGATCCCCATTATTGGCAAAATACAGTGAGTTCCAACTTACTAAGGAGTTATGTTCTAAAGTCAGCAGGAGAGCAAAAATAACTTCTGGCCAAAATTACCCTTGCAAACCCCTTCAATAGCTCCTGGGGTACAGAACACATCTATGTCACTGTCTCTCAATAGATCTAATTTAGCCCAGTTTTCCATCCACCAGAAGTAGGTGATGAGGCGCCACATCCCAGGAAAACACTGGGAAGACTCGATGTGAACTCTCTCCACTGAGAGTCATGCAGCCCCACCAAGCGGACAGCACTCTCCCGGACACATATTTGTTGAGGGGATGGGAACGTAACTGATCCTGAGTAAAACGAAGCCAGGATAACTAAATGACCTGTTGCTTTTAAATCTGATCATGACCCACAGTAAAAAGACATTTTTACAATCTAGTCAACATGTCTATAACTAAATCAGTACTTACCCTTAATAGGAGTGACGCATTCTGATTAGCATATATATACTATTCTATTTTAAAAAAACGTTGATGAAGTCACACGTGAAAAAAAATGCACGGAAGACACAACACACACACACACACACACACACACACACAAATGAGTGTATGCAAAACTGGTGAAGTCTGAGCAAGGCTGGGATTGTGTCAGTGTCAACTTCCTGGCTGTGATATTGCACTACAGAATTTCTGTACTATTTCTTACAACTGCAGTGAATGTACAATTATCTCACAATAGTGTAGGAAATAAAAATGTCAGGACATTTCACAATTCATTAACAGTCTCAAACCAGTTTGAAACACACTGAACTTGATGGAGACAAAAGGGAAAGCAAGAAGGTAGAAACCATTAGGGTCACCCTTAGATCATTTTAGGTGCCCCTAAAGTTCTTTTCTTCACCAAGCCAACTTTCTGAACCAATTGTATTTTAGGGATCAAGTGGGGACAGCAGGATACCTTGCTAGGCTCTGTCCTGTTTATTAGGTAAGCATCTCCCACAGTGAGTTTTGTGGAATGCCAGGCTATTGGGCTCTTGTGTGAGAAAGAAACTGTGCCCAGTTGTTTGCATTAGACCCACAATGACCTGCAGAACCACACACACCATGAAACACATTTGGGGAAATGTTATACATTATTCAAGATAAAAGGCTTCACCAGAAAACACATTATAAAGTGCCTGTCACTGTCCTGCAAGCTTCTTGGCCACAGCCAAGACTTAGTAACCAAGCTTTACAGTGAGCATGTTTAAGTTTACCCAGAAATGCCAACTAAGAGCTTACCAGTGAGCCATTCTCTCCTCTACAGGGAGGCTGGCGGGGGGTGGGGTGTGGAGGGGCCTCCGGAACCTAAGCTTTTCCAGTGCAGGTTTGCAGGTTCAAGGGCAGTACTGGTGCACACTTCATCCCTCCTCCTCTCTTGTTTGGACTCACAGTCCAGAAACCCAGTGAATTCTCATGTAAGATAGAAAGATTTTCTTTATTAATGACCCCAACCGTGTTTCTTTAGATACAGGAGTTCTGAACTCAAATACTTAGGAGAAAACAAGTTAAGATTGCATTATCCTGCAACTCATTACCAGTAACATACTGCAAAGCAAAACAGCTTGGAAAAGAGGGGGAGGAGAAGGGGAGTGAGGGAGGGAAGATAAAGAAAAGGAATTAAGTTGATCAAGTGGAATTCGTTTTTTTCCTTTTTTTTTGAATTCTTGGGAACCATGAAGTCCTTGCAAGCACAGCTCGTTTTTGCAGATTATTTTCCAAAC